CGATCGCGCGCATGCTTCGAATTCCTAATGCTGTTTGTTGAGCATATGCGTCTTTAAAAATCGACCCCCCAGAGAATAGCCTCTGCATTCCTTCACATGATAATGAGTCCAATCCACTGTAGTTGTGGTCAGAGCTGCAGCGGTTAGTTAACGCTGTTTCATCCCCCCCTCCTCTCTCTCCCTCTCTCTCTCCGTCTCTGAAATGTATGGCCTAATTGAAAGCAGAGCAGCAATTTTACGACGGCTCTCAGTGTTTCTCGTGTTCTGCCCCTATGGAGGCCATCTGCTTTGGATTTAGATTTCCTCCTCCTTCTTTCTCAGTTTCTTCTTCCGCTTCTCCACCCTCTTGAGAGGAGCTGCTTCGGAGGGTCTCTCCGCAGTCGCCCGAGCTGGGCTTGTGGTATTCGTCCACTTTCCTTTTCCTCCCTGTGTGCGTTGGGGTCATATTCTAGACCAGCAGGCTTCCAGATAGTCCTCGCTGCAGAATCCTCAAGATGCAAGGAGGCCGTTTCGCATTCAACTCTGACGCCAGCTCTTCCTCAACCTTCATCTTGTTCCCTTGCGTTCCATTTTTTGTTTTACCGTCTCTTTACACGGCTCTGTTTATTCTATTTAATGCAGTTTGTGAGCTCATTAATCCCGCAGTATAAGCCAAAGAATGATCTGTGCTCTTGTAGCAGGGGTGAAACACTGAGTGGGAGTAGTGCAGGAAGCCGAGCGCCGAGACTTTCCAGTTGTGTCTCAAGAGTGTATGAAAACCTGTAGATGTGGAATTTGTTGAGAGCATGTGTGTGTGTGTCTGCTTGTGTGCATTTGTGTCTGGGTGTCAAGAGCAGAAAGACGCATTATGTCAGTGTTTTCTTGTGCCTGTGTGTGGCCATGCTTTGTGTAGACATTGCATCAGTGTGTATCACGTGTGTGTATATGCTTCATTTAACAGTTCACTGACCCGTAGTGCGTGCGCATGTGTGTGTGATATGATGACTCCCTGCTGTGATCTGGACCAGAGGAGGAAGTGGTGAACTAGCTGTGGTTGTGGAGTTGCACTGTCTTCTCTGAGGACACTGTCCTCATCACACACATTGACCCTTATCTGAAAACACAGGGCTGTAGCCTTGGGGACTTAAACAAACACCGAGCAAGCCGGCACTGTCAAAGTAATATGACAAACACCGCTCCCGGCAACTGATTCGCCGTTTCAAAGCCGTGCTTCCACTTCACAGACACCTAAACTGCTCCAAATTGCTCTGATGTGTCCATTTAGCTTATACCTTGGCGCAAGCTTGAATGAATTCATTTGTAAAAAGCACAAGTAAACAAAACACGCACCACCCTGCAGGCTCATCTCCAGAGTGTTGCGTGGTGTGATGACGCAGTTCCATTAAATTAGTCATTGTACTGTGTGTATTATGAACAGTTTGTAAATGTTGCTTTAGAGGGTATTTTCCTGGAAATGAAATGAAACCTAACTAAAACATTTACTCAGTCATTCTAGTGTTTACAGCTGAGGGTTTTGATCCGTAATCCACTGCACCAATGTAAACGGAAGGACAGGCTCTGCATGTATGTACGTATGTGAAGAAACCCAAAAGCTTCTTTCATTAGCTGCTGCCTCTGGTGCTGTTTTTTCTCAGCCTGCCCGCGCTATGCGGTGGTGGCACAACAGTCCAGATGTTATTGTGACACTGGTTCCCACGTGTTCGGGTGCCCGTTGGAATGTGCAGCACCAACTGCAAAGTTCATGACTTCAGAACCTAAACTCGCTGTTCCTCGAAGACCTCCATGCGAGACAGAGTGTTGCAATGGCCTCACAAAAGCTGACCGCAGTGTGAGTTTATTACTCAGATTTATGACTGCGAATGTCCAAATAAGTTCAGAAGCAGTTGTGCAAAACTGAACTGCATCTTAAATCTGCATGCAAAACTTGAAATGCAAAGGTGATATATTTATTGAAAATATCCATTCCAGCACACAGCATCACTATTAATAACACTATTAAGGATTTTAAGTGTAAAATCAGACTGCCTCGCATACTTTTTGGACTGCCAACCAACACTAAACACTAAGAAGTGGGACAGTCATTATCTTTTTTTTTCCCCCAACCAACACTATTGTTCCTGACCCAGTGCAGCACTCCTTTTTTTTTTTTCCTCATTGCTTTCTGTAATTTCCCACAGCCCAGCACAGCTCTGTATATTCAAATTGGTGGACATTTTTTTAAGACAGTCTCATATATTTGAGCTGGACAATAATAAATGGTGAGGTGACAGCAGGGTGTGTCCTTCCTTGCCTTGCTAATACACTCAACTTCATCATACACTCCTACACACAGTTTTGGCACAATATGCGGGACTGTAATTGACATTTACTTCCATCACAGCTGTGTTAAATTACTCCTCTGATTCTCGTGAAGGAGATGATTACGAACAGTCAGTCAGTCATGAAAAAGCGCTAGCCCGAGGGCGATATTGTTGAGAGGAGCCGCCCCATGACTTCATTTTGGCAAATTTATTTAGACCACTATAACAGCATTTGGGGAGAAGACAATTTCCCCCCCCCCCCCTAAAAGCATGTGACAAACAAACGTACTGCTGATGTCATCATAAGGATAAATCATCCTGCTCAAAGAAACCTAAATGTACACTGATTAGTAAGTTTGTCAAAGCTTGTCATTATCAATTTAAAACTCCATCATTGGAAAAAAAAAAAAAGGGCAAAATCATCCCACTTGAATTTGCCCAGTGACCGTTATTAACAAGCTGGGAGTGATTATTTTGAAAGAGCAAAAAAATCGTCATTCTAATACAAACACTGTAAATGGAATTAGTGAGGAGTTTTGTTATTTTATCTTAAACTTTCAAAACACTCTCTCGCACAGATGAAAATCTGACTTGACAGAAAGAAGTAATCTTAATGCACAGCATGCAGCTGATGGCAGCTCTCCAGGAAGTTAGGAAACACTCTGCCTTCAAAGTGAAATCAGACCTGTCCAGTCCCTTCTTGATTCCCCTGCAAGACTGCAGATTGTTTTCATAATCACTTAAACATTGGTTGCAGATTTTTTGGGATGGATGTAGGGGGCATAGGGCGATGAGAGCGAGGGGAGGGGTGCAACACTGTATCCCCGGTCTTCCCTTATTTTGTCCCAGCCCGTGTATGAGTCATAAAAACTTTAATCAGCAGCATCTGGCGCTCTCCAAACAGACGTCAGCACTTTGCATCAGCACCGGCAAGCCAACGCTAAGTATGAGCGGCTGTGCTTCGCTCCGGCCCCTCAACAGCATGACCTCAACCCCACTGTCAGCTTTGCATCTCCCACTGTGACAGCATGCAGGCTGGAAAATCTGACTTCTGCTGGCCCTGCACCACACCAGTCTATATACACTGACAGCGTTGTCTTTGTGCAACCAATGGGCAATCTTGAAGACAATGCCATGGCAACGTTTTGTTCGAATGCTCTCCCACAAATGATCTATTTACTATGTGATCCAACTATGAACTGGCTTCTATTCTCAGTCCTAGAAAACAAAAATGCCAAAATACAGCAGTTTCAAAGTTTCTGCGGCAGTAAGACTAACCACTATTACATCCAATAAAACAAATGTTGACTGTTTTGAGTTTAAAAATTAAGTACAATCAGAGAGCCAGGTGTACTAGGCAGGAGGTTTGACCCTAACCCTCTTTATTCATTTGGAAATTTGAACATAGTCCCTGGTGATTTCCCATTACAGCTGTTTGTTCGAATGTAAAAAAAAAAAAAAAATCTCTGCCTAGCACTGCAGCCAGGAATCAGCAGGACAGAAACAGCACTCGTCCTCCTCATGATCATTCCTCTCTTGCTCCACGCTGTTTCCAGGGTCTGGCCTTGGCCTTTGGCTGCACACCATGCTCTGTCTGCAGCTGAGTGCTCTCAGATTAGCTAAAGCTGCCTGTGCAGTCAATCTGAAGGTGTTTCTACTGTGCACATGAATCAATTACTTGTCTAATGCAGAAGAAAAAGTCAATGCGATACTGACAGTTACTCAAGTTAGCTGTAAGGTTTGTGTAGTTTTAATTTCAAGAAAGGTGTGTGTCTCAGAAAATGTATTTAAGTAATTGAAGGAGTTATTTTTTATAACAAATGAATTCTTAATTAATTTCAGTCTTTTTTTCCTTTTTTTTCAAATATTCACTGTTTTTTTATATTTTTTTACCCCTGTATGAGGGCTTGAAGCTTTTATGTGCCTGCTATGATAGTAAACCTAATGTCACTGGCTGATGTTTAAATACAACAATGAGACCTGCTGTTATTAGTCAGCATATTATTGGTGATGACGCTGACAATGTGCATGGTTTCTGGTACTTCAGTTCATTATAGCAAATTTTTTTTTTCTGGATCACTACGTAATTGTTGTGTCATGACTTCATTAGAGTTTGGCTCCAGTCATTGGTCAGCTGCAGTCAGTTTTACAGCTTTAAACAATGACAAGGGCAGCAAATTCCAAATCATCTCAGCATAGAAGTATCCAAAGGCTTCAAAAGTAAGGCAGCGTGTTAGATTATCATTGAACAAAAAGGTGGTTTGCTACAGTGTGCAGAGTTTTGATGGCAGCATTACGGCACGAACACCTTAACAGATAGTAAACAGGTGTTATTTGGTGTGGACTTGTGTTTGCTTCTCTCTTGCTCTCTGTGCTCACATATACTGTGTTTTAATGCAGCTGAATTCCCAATAACGCTGTTCTTGTTAAGGTGTTTTTCTTTTTCTGCTGTCAGACAACTTAACAGTGACATACAGCTTCCCAAACAAAACACAACTTAAATGAAATAGTCATTTTGTCTGGAGGAAAACATGTCATTTAGATTGATAAACGAATTGGGAAAATAGTCGACAGATTAATCGATAGCAGCCTTAAATTTGCCAAAGACTTTGGGCTTTCCAATTTATCTGCCATGAACGCAAAGAGGGATGATTTCTCGCCTGCACAAACAATTTCCTCACGTTTCTCTGTTCTTCACAGGCCAGACCCAAAGGTGAAGGACTGACACCCTACCAGGGGAAGAAGAGATGCTTTGGAGAGTACAAATGCCCCAAGTGTAAAAGGAAGTGGATGAGCGGCAACTCCTGGGCCAACATGGGACAAGAATGTATCAAATGCCACATCAATGTCTATCCACACAAACAGGTACTCCAACCAACATTCTGACATCCACTTATGAGAATTTACAGCCACTTAAACTAAAACACATGACTCATGCAGTTTCAGCTCATACCTTGGACCATCTCAACTAAAGCTAACTGAGGACAGACTCTCTTTTGCATATTGTCTTTAGGATATTCCAGATGGTCTCATTAAAATAAAATAAAAATTCTACCACTAACAATTGCCTTGGTCACAATCCTGTATTGAATAAACTAATTACATTTCCTTTCTGCGAAGAAGTTTGGGATTATTTACTCCACGTCGTAAAATCTTAAAACAAATATTTCTTTATTAATGGCCCACAGACACAAGCGAGGGAATCGAGGTTTACAGCTGCAGAAATTCCTCTCACATTTATTAAGAAGAAGAAGTGAAATCATAATAACTAGAATTCTGGGAAGCGTTTTTTTTTCTCCCCCCTAAACTGACACTCGAACAGAATTAACGTGCTGTCTGTTCGGCTTAACCTCCAAAATGTTCCTCGCTGCCTGTTGAGTGCAGAGATGAAGAAAGAATCCACTCTGTTTTTTTCTTTTTTTCTTTCAGCGAGAGATATATTTATCCTCAACGCTCCATCTTTTAATATTTATGCTTTTCCACATTCTTCCAATTCCACTTCCTGAAATAAAATTAGGATTACCGCTCGAGGCCCTGCTCGCACTCTAAATACCACAGCTGACCATGTTCCACTCTGTTAACACTTGCGTGAAATGAAGCGGGGAAAAAGGGACATTTCTCGACGAATTTATCCTAAATGTCTGGCGAGGACGCACCAGCATTCCAAGACAATGAAAAGCTAATAGCTCAAATCTTCTTTTCGAGATCTCAACCTTGATTATTAGCTGTAAAATGGAATACTGCGTTCACATCGCCAGTAGTACTTCTCAGTCGTTTTGTTCCACTGGGTTGACTGGTGAGAAAACCTCCCTTCTACCCTTGCCTCTGTGTCTTGTGGCGAAGCTGCACACAGGCAAGCAAATTCCCTGCATTTGAAATGTCACCCACTTAACATATTTCTCCCCTGTCAGCATTTGCAATGGACCACTAACCTCTGTGTCCTCGAGTATCAAAGAGCTCAGCACAAGCTCCTTCCCTCGCTGTGGATTCCCATAAATCAAATGAATATGTATTTTTCCAATCCCATCCACGTGTATCAAATATTTGTTCCTCTTTGATGGGAAATAGTCGCGATGAGAGAGAGAGAGAGCATAATTTCCCCTGGGAATGACGGGGGGCATGTCTCCTTATTTGTCATACTTTGGTTCGATTTACATTTCCACAGTTGGGAATCTCTCTTTTTTTTGAACAAGTGATGTGATTTTATTGCTCTGTTAGCGACCAAATAACAAGCATACATCCTGACAGTTAAAGCAAGTTATATAACAGTGAGCTCTGCTAGTTTTTTCCCCCCTTTTCATGGGAAAGCACACAGAGAGGTAATCACTGAATGCCTTTGTGACTAACCTGCTCCTGGTTTTCAAGTGTATTAGCTGCTCATTTGCCAATTACCGTATTTCGCTTACAAGGTCTGAGAGTTGTCACCGTGTCAACGGACCTCAAGCGTGACCTATTTAGTGAAAACGTGCAGATACGTTTTTGCTGAGCCACTCTCTGCTGTGACATTATGTGTTTTTTGTTGCCCTTGGTTTCGTCTGTCAGGCTACTTAAACCCTGTGTTTAGCGAAAGCTCTGCAGACACTACTCCTGACTTTAAAAACTTTAAAGTCTCAGCTTCATATTATTTCATTTAAATATAATTTTAAGCCTAGCAGGCTACAATAATAACCCTAAAATTTAGGTCACATTTCTATTTGTTTTCTTGGATCTAGGAGTTGCACAAAGAACCGTTTCATTATTGCCGGGTTAAATACCATTCGCGCGTATACATTTTTTGTTTGATTGTTTTTGTTCGGTGGAAGAATCCTCAGACAAAACTGAAGTCCTTTCATTTGATTCCTGCCTCTGTGCCAAACACACATACCAAATTAAGTTGTACATTATTGATCTCAGTAGGGGAACATTCTCTTTTTGCTTCCTCCAAATGCAGAGAGCTCAGACTGCAGCTTTACCTACAGAACAGACTCCCTTAAGCTTCTTGAGTTTCTTGCTCAAGGACAATTCAACAGGGACGCCGCCTGCAGCACAGGGACTTGAACCCATTTCCCTTTAACCGCTGAAGGGGACCCCATAAAATATACATCAGATTTTCCAGCTTTTCTCAAGGAACCTAATGTCTTCAACGCAGCAACAGTAAAGTCTCGATACTTGCTGGCAGACTCATTAGTGGAATACTGAAATTTCTCCTCGTAGTGACCCACGGTAACCTGGTTTCCCTTAGTTCGACCGCTTGGAATAAATAACGGTTGTCTAAAAAGCTCTAACAAGAAAAAGAACAATTGATGAGAAATAAAAATTTTCCAGATGGACTGTTAAAATAACCTCCAAAAGCGCCGGCCCAAAATGATTCCTTTTGTCCTCGATAATGACTCCCAAGAAAGCCAAGCTTATATTTCCATACAGGTCATCGTGATCAAATGCATACTGGATCTTATTTTCTGTAATACCAGGTTGTTAAAGCCGACTGCAAATTTCCACAGCTCGTGGTGCGTTGCCATATCTCTGCAACTAATTGTGTTTAGTGCACGTCTGGTCTGTGAAGAATATGGGTGTAGTTTTGGAGGCCAGAGGAGTTTGGCGTATAGCTGACTCGAATCTGCTGCCAAAAAAGCTGCTTGCAAAACTCGGAGGTTTATGCTGTGTGTTTGCTGCATGCTTTTGCTTTCCTTAGTGTTTTAACATGCATCATTCTTGGGTTTTGTTTCTGTATCTCCAGCGGCCTTTAGAGAAACCGGACGGCCTGGATGTGTCTGACCAGAGTAAGGAGCACCCACAACACCTGTGTGAGAAATGTAAAGTCCTGGGCTACTACTGCCGCCGTGTGCAATAATCATCTTTATCCAGAGGCTGAGAGCAACATTTGGGTCCCAAGTATCGCTCATCCACCATCGAGGCTTTTCACATCTTCCCTACCCAGTACACATCCAGGTTTTTTTGTTTTTTTCCTCACCCATGTCCTGCACATGACATGGAGTCCTTTCCTCCTCACGTCTTCTCAGAAGCCTCCAACATAGAGTAGCTCTAATCCTTTTTTTTTTCCCGAAGCCTTTCCTCTCTACCGCAGCAATGAAACCATCATAGAACACAGATTTCATTTCTTTTTCTTTGACAGTATTGAAGATTACATCCAGGAATGAGAGGAATGCTTAGGATCAATCTTATCTCTCAAAGTAGTCTTCAACAAAAAAAAAAATTGCCAAACTTTTTTTTTTTTTTGTATGCCTTGTGTATCAGAAACCACATAACCCAATTGATCCAACTCAGTGTTTAACAACAGCAATTTGTTGTATTGATGATTTAGCACCAGGCTTGTATTTCATCGGTGTTTGCTGACAATATCGGTCTCAATAGATTACCTCACCTTGGGGTTTGTTGGCTTTGTGTTTACAGAGATCTGCTTTCCATTTCCCCGCCAAGTGAAGTGTGTGGCGATGTGATGAACGTTTAACCGGGGGCCTCTCATGATGGTATACGAGGCCTTTTGATGTCTTGCCGTATTAGGGTCAACAGCACATCTTATTAACTGTGAATTAACTGAGGGATAATGTGCCATACATCCCTAGCTTACATTTGGCCTATTTATTTTCTTGTTGTCAAGTGTGCAATTTGAATTTTAACTGGGACATAAAGAAATATTTTTTTTTTTGTATGTTTGTATATCACAATATTGTGTAACTGCTTCCACGTGTCTTTAGAAACTACTGTAGGTTCAGTTGTGTAGTCGCTCCTCGGCTAGATTTAGTGCATTGCTAACATAAGGATTCATTCATCCTCCCTAGAGTATTTTTGTTACCACACAAATTTTCATTTATCTGCAGTGTTAGATAGATATAAATGCTAGATTAGTAAACTGTGTTGCTGTAATTTCAAAGCAAAAGAAGGGTCAACAGAGAAGAAGCTGTAGGAACGGCTTCAGTAACAGTAACATGTCGCCACACGTGTTCTCGTCCGTGTTGAAGATTCTATTTTTCAGAGCGGTTGAAAATCTTGAACTGCTTGCCACAGTTCGATTAGCCTTATTAAATGTTATTTGACAGTTAAACTGTTCACCTAAAGCCTGATAAGATTTTAAAACACCAGTTTGTAAAATACAAATGAGATGTTTGAACGAGATTCAGAAAGACGTTAAAAGTTTTAGTGCCAATTGATGCCTGGCAGCCTTAGTGGAGTCAGTGAAGCAAAATGGAACTTTTCCAAGGGTTTGCACCCTTCAAAAACTATGTCCGCTAATTGCAGTGAAAAGAGTGTCTAGAGGGAGGTGAAGCTTTGGAGAACTGCAATGATTTTTCAGGTTGGTTCAGAGAAAGAACACGATTTGATATAGAAGGGATGATTTGCGACGTGGTGATGCTGAAGATTTGTGGATATATTGAAAGTGATTGTGATTTAAGTTTACACTTGCATTCGTATTTTATGGGGCCTACAAGCATAGATCATGTCTTTAAAGGAAGAGAAGTACCCATTGTGTTTACATACGTCACTGTGCAGATCGAAAGCACGACAGAGGAAATTAATCTAGCTCTCGCTTAAAGAAACCTGCCTTCCAAGGATCCTTGTTATAGGAATTGTGAACTATTTTATATGTACTGTATTTATAGCCTTACAAAAGCTGGTCCACTATATTTTATACTTCAACATACTGTATGTGCCTTAAAAAGATTTCAATTCTCGAGACTAAGACGACATTTGACATTTGGAAAAGACGTGGATTTAGGCTCAGAGGTGGAGCAGTAGACAGTATACAGCAGAAGGTACACCCCTGTGCACAATCACTTCAATTTCAAATGATTTCAAACTGTATCACCGAGAAATAATTGCATTATTTCTAAGATTGCATGTAGAGTGTTTCTTCTTGTGAAATGTGACACAGAAAAAGTATATTGAAAATACAAGCCACAAGGTAGAAGCTCAGTGCAATAAAAGTGAATACACCTGTGATAACTGACACACAAGTTAAAAACAAAAAACTGAAACAAAGTTGAGTAATTTCCAGTTAGCCTGATAGCAAGAACACATTTATAAAAATGATGTGTCTGCACCATGGCTCCACTATGATAAGAATTGCCAGAGGAGTTTAAAAAAACATGATAAATATGGAAAGATCAGCCAGCATTCCATTGGCTACCAACTAATGATCAGTGGGAAACCAGTTGCAGCAGTAATCTAGGGGGTATAGAAGGAGCCATAGCACCAGTAATCAATGTGGTTATCAATGGAAATTAGCAACTCTTTGACTGCCCAGACAGGGTGAAGAACTCTGCATAAAGATAACATCTATGGAAGAAAACATTTGCTTGCTTTTCAGCACTAAACTAAAAAAATGTATGAAAAGAAGCCTGATGAATAGTGGGAGTTCTCTGGTCAAATGAGAACCAAGATAACTTCTGGGAGCTGAGAGGTATTCACAAGGGCTACGACAGTGAATAGTCCTGGCAGTGAAGCACAAAGTGGAGCAAGTGTGATTATTTGGGGCTGCAAGGTGTTGGGAACATGAGATTCATAAATGGCACCACGAATGCCTGTGATTATGCCAAAACACTGGCTGCTGAGATGACGTCCAGCCTCCAGAAGATTGGCAGAAGAGGAATAGTTAGGCACGATAACATTTCAAAACTCCTGGCCAAGTATGTCACTAAACTTAAATCCAATAGAAAACTTTGGGGTGTTTTAAAGAGAAAGGTAGAGCAACACAACCCCATCAGCAAAGAGCAACGTTTTTACAGAAATGTGGGTAACTCAGAAGTCATGCAATTATGCAGCGGTGATACAATTTTGAATCACTTCGGTGGCGTCACGCTTGGGTGTTCTGTTGTATACTCGATGTGCATGTGTAACTGTGATGCATAGCAAGTTTGACGTAGGTTCAGGTTGTGACAAGGGACAAGAAAACGATAAAGCTCCTCTATTTGCGGTTGAACTGGCATGGTGGGTGTTCGCTTCAACGCAGTTTGCTGAGTTGGAGGCATGGGCTGAACCAGCATTTCCAGCTGGCAATAACAATCCTACTGTGGTCTGTTGTCATGGAATATCAACAAAGATGTTATTTCTTAGTCGATCCTCACAACACAATGAAGTTGCATATGAAACTGTGGACCTCACTCTTTGTTTTGTTATCTGTTGTAGTTATGTTTATCCAAGAAACCGTGGGTTTTGTCAAAAAATATACATGGTTACTTGCTATGGTGGGAGTGGATGATAATGGTACATTACAGTGTGGGGAAATTTAATTAAATTCCATCTGTAAAGTTAAAAGGGCACTCCGGTGATTTAGTATTGCAGTTCCACAAAGTTGGGAGGCTTGCAAGAGACACTAAAGAATAGTTCATGCAGCTGAGGCTGACATATTTTCACTTTTAGTCGTTAGTATGGCTCAAGCTCCAAAAATGCAGTTCTGATAATGCCACTCAAAGCATCTTTCAGTCAATCGCCTGGAAAAAGGACGACAATTTCAAAACTCTGCACCAACAGATCGTAATACATATTTTTTAAAAATGTGTCTCTAAGCCTGAGTTGAGTTATATTCTCTGTGGTGGTAAACTGAACATCGTAAGCAAAACTGATCGAGTGTCCCTTTCAAGGAAAGACTGTGCATCTATACTAATCTGAATTAAAGCTTCTCCTTATTGGCCGCCACTGTTGGGAACAATCCATTTTTTTTTTTCTTACTGTTATCGTCTTTCTTATGCTCCGTGTGATGACACTAACCTGACAGGTCTTTCAGAACCTTATTGTCCACGTCGTACCGTGTGGACGTAGTGAAAGGAATAGATACCAATGATGCCTTATGAACTAACCTCATAATCAAATAACAGTGTTATTGTGATTCACAGAGTTCTGGCAGAACATAAATGACATGTAGGTCTCGAGAAATCTTATCAGAGAGTTTGATTCCGCCCAGAGACATGTTATGAGGAGGCCATTTAAAATGGCGAATCAAGAGCCAATGGAAGCAGCTGATACAATACATTTGAAAAAAAAAAAAAAGAAATCTCTGCTTTCAGACGTAGTGTCTTGAATTACATATACTTGACTTTTCTAGTACCTTTTCAGTTCAAAATTGTTATTTTCTATGAACGAGATGTGTATTTTGGAACACTTAATAGATGTTGAAATTTTTAAAGCAATCTGCAAAAACTCAAGAGTTATTTCCCTGACAAAGATAGATTATTTTATGTATATATTTGATGGCCATCATTTTCAATGATAGTAGCTCTTTTGAAGTGTTAAGCAATATCAAAGCTTTTTTTGTGTGAAGAAGGGCCTATTGCTGAGAAATAATCAAAGCTGGGAGTTTTTTTTTTCTCTTTTTTTCTTTATGTTTTACAATAATCTGAAGGGTTATCCTGCAGAAATATTTATGGAAAGACTTTTTACAACACTTTTTGTATAGAATATGCAACAAAGTTACACTAAGAAGGAAATATTGATGTCTACATAGAATATTATTAAAAAAAAAAGAAGCTGGTACATAATTAATAACCTTTCTCAATTATAAGCCATTGTTATTTTTGTGTTTTGTTCTACGATGTTATCAGTTTTGAATAACCCAACGTTATTCAGTTGCTATGTGACTAATTATGAGCTGACATTTACATCCATACGGCCGCATGTATTCGTTTTGTAAACAATATTATGAAGATATATTGTGTTAACATGCAGAAATCTTTTTTTTTTTTCTTAATTAGTGATGGATACTCACCACTGTATAAGCACATTAAACTGTGAGATGTAGTTTGCTTAAAGCAGCGATGACAAGAAACTATTATAAAACGTTACGGTGTTATTCGTAGTTTAGGGAGTGTATACTTTTGTCAAGAAAGCGTGTGTGACAAAGAACTATTTTAGAGTTTGCATGTGCATGTGTTTGGTTTTGAATGAAATATTACTTTGTGCAATGTATACTTATTTAAATACTTTACAGTAGTTTGCTACAGTACATATTGTTTTTAACATTATAAGCAACTTCTGATTGTTATTAGTCCCGAAGTATTTCATTTACCGCAAATGTAGCCTCTGCAGATAATACGTATTTACTGAATGTAATGTGTTAACACTTATGTGGTCAAGTTGGAAAGTTATGTTTGTATTCTTTGCTGTCTGTATCACTTGAGATGTTTGTCATGCAGTATTGCAATAATGTAATATTTGAATTGGACAGAACGCAGGCGTGAGGTTGGGAAGACAATGATTCTGGGAAACAAGGACAGTGGTGGTTTCGAGAGTCGACCACAGGTCTGTTTTTCATGTCCATGAAACGGCATTCCAAAATGTGCCTTATTTGTTAGTTGGGAAAACATTTTAGTGCTTTAGTGCTGTTGAGAGTTTGATGAATAAAAGTCATATTGAATTAAGACCGCTTGGATTGTGCTGTTTAATTTGTTTGGATCCTCTGCTGAATTGATGTCAGCAGTAACTGGGAGGTGTTCGCTCTGGTGTTCGATTTCAGCCAAAAGCAACACATTGTTTTCTGAGTAATATTCATTACCGAGGATATGTTTTCGCCAACACTCTGTACCGTGTCCTTGAGTGCAAGGTTGAAGTCTTACACAACACTGAGCATATAGATTATGATAAAGAGGTTTTTAATGGATTATTCATGGTGGTTGTGTAACGCAGATGGTGGGGGGGGGGCTTGCAAAACTTTTTTTTTCTCCGCTTTCCGTGAAAGTGCTGAGAGATAACAGGCACATAAAACTGCCAGGACTTGATTTCAACACATTGAGTCCAACTGTGGACAGGAAAACCAAAACAAAAAGAAAAAAAACGGACACCAGCTGACATGGGTGCTGTGTGATAAATGTAGACATTTACAGAAGAACCAGCTTGTACCAGTTGTAAAGATGTCATTGTTTTGTATGTGTATTAAACGTTGGCCACAGCACCATTGTCTCTCCGGCCAAGTTTCCATGCACAATATTGGACATGCATTCCAAATAACTAAAACTAAACCAGAGGGTGGGGACCCAAATTATATCAAGTTTGTTACAACATCTCTAGCTCAAACAGAGTGAGAGCTGAAAAGTCTCTATAGCAACAATGTAATCTGAGAATTCAAACAAACGGTGGAAGGTCAGTGCGCATATGGTTTCATTTAGGGGCAAGAGCTGCTTTTTCACGTCGCTTCATTATTTACTTTCATAAAGTATTAGCTCGATAAGCAGCACCACCCAGTCTCTGGCTTTCAGACACGTCCTGGCCTCCTTTTCTCCCCCTCGCCCTCGCCCTCCCTCTCTCTCTTCAAGACGCTCTGCGTTTCAAATAAAGAGGCAGCGAAGGAAGAGCAGCCTACACGCAGGCTAAAGACATTTTCAGGTTCCTCTGTGGTTCCAGCAGATTAAATCATCTGCACCGACTGTGTCCAATGAGGCCAGATTCCACATGTCTGTCATCTGTCAACTGCATTCATGTGATTCTTCGGCTCCCATGTAGGTGGATGTGACATCCTGCTCTGATGGACAGGAAGTCGGTTTCTGCGCGAGCCCGTGTCTAAAAAAAGCAGCTGGATCATTTCCGGGAAGCTTTAAAAGCAGCAGGGCCGGTGGCACATGACAGCAAATGTCCTGTGCTGAGAACACTGCTCGTAAAATATGAAAATTGTCATTTATTTGGCAGTAAATGGAGATTAACTGCACAATAATTTTATACAGTAAATGGCTGAGCACTTGGACACAAAGTAGATTGGCCAAGTAAAGACTTCTTTTCTCTCACACACAGATACAATATAAACATTTCATACCTGACTTGGAGCGTGAAATGATAAATCCCCTCAACATCAAATCAACCGTAAAAACTGCACATTTTAGTAAAGACCAGAATCACCTGGGACAGTCCCTCCTTAAAAGTCTCATGAATAAGGAAACGGTGATGAAGTAAATACCAAAGTGTTGCGTACTGAGTCATCCAGCAGAAGTCTGTGAATGGTCTTTGGTGTCATTTGATCTCCCCACAGTCAGTGATGACAATTTTCTTGATCACACCGCCATCGTGTAAACCAAAGGATTCCATCTTGGTGACTACATCCATACCGTCCTTCACCTGCCCGAACACCACATGTTTACCATCAAGCCTGTCAAAAGAAAATTCAAAAAGCGACTTCAGCAACCGGCGACTGGTTCGATCTGGATGTGGCCAGACTATGAGGGCTAGAGCTCAGATGACTGATGAAAAAGTTCTACAAAGTGTTTACCATTCAGTTTTAGTGGTGCTGATGAAGAACTGTGAGCCGTTGGTGTTTGGGCCTGAATTTGCCATTGAAAGCGTTCCTGCAGAGATCAAAAAAAAAAAAAAGGCCAATCAACGGACCGCGATGGGATCTGGATGTCCTTTTACCCCTGATCCAGTGACGCTTTGGCGTGACAGTAGCATGATGCAAGTCAACAAGTGTGTTAGGAAAAAGGCCTGTTTCTCTTCTCTGAAACTGACGCAAACTGTGATTATGCAACACAAGACGAAGCACCAAATAATCAGCGTGTGGATAAAGTTTGTTCAAGAAAAGGAGGTATTTTGATTAGTGCATGTTGACTCACTAAAAAAAAAAAAGTAGGTCATTCGCACAAGGATTGCAAAATCTATACAACCGGTGGTTTTAGCGCTGCATGAGATTGGGCACTGCCATCTAGTGGAGAGGCAGCTTTATTAAAATACAGGCAAAAATACAAGAGAAGAGCAGCAGTTTACATCTATTTAAATATTCTAGTCTGAATGTTTAGTCTTGAAAGAGGAATTAAATAATGAAAGTTAACAAAATGTCCACATTTCAGATTCTGGAGCCAGATAAAACGTGGCACTGATGCTAGAAAAATGTATTAAAGTATGAATCAGTTAGCATAAATGTTGATTAATCTGGGCATGACCTGCTATTTAATATTTGTTTCAATGCAGTGGAGACTCTAAAAACACACTCTGAAAGCACCTTTTTCAGCCTTTGAACAAATGATATGCCTAATGTATTGATGAAGGATCATTGATTTTGTCCTATAAACAATAATAAAGTAGACAAATCAAGTCACTGATATTCATAAAAGTACATTTAGAAACAACATACTTTGAAATAAAGTGTATTCCAATAGAGAAATAAGACCTAACAAGTTTAATAAGACCCTGCAATATTATGTATTATAGAATTTACCTCACTAAATTATAAATAAAGGTAAAGACCCTACAGAATTATAGACATTGCAAATTTACCTGACTAATAAGTGATCACTGCAAATAATTCCTACTGATCACTAGATTAAATATGAAGCTTAAGAACTGACAACATAATATATGATATCACATTATTGGACTAATTTATAAACTAAGGTTTAAATCTACAAAAATATACATACAGTCTCTATCATATTGGGAAAAACATTCAAACAAAGCTGACTCCCTCACTGATTCACACAGAGAAAATGCAGGAAAACACATTTTAAAATAGAAGAAAAGAAGTTAAAACCTAATGAATCCAATGAGGGAGCTGTGAACATGTACCTGGACCCGTGTGTTTCAATTTGAAGTTTTCATCTTTGAATGTTTTCCCATAAATAGATTTGCCTCCTGTGCCGTTGTGGTTGGTGAAATCTCCTCCCTATAAGAAAAAAACAACAACAACAGACAATATGGATCCAATAATCACACCTGATTGCACTAACCTGCTTCGTCATAGTAAGTCTCACCTGACACATGAACTCAGGTATGACTCTGTGGAACACTGATCCCTTGTATCCAAAGCCATGTTCTCCAGTGCACAGCGCTCTGAAGTTCTCTGTAAAGTTGGATGGATTAAAGTTAGAATAAAAACAAATCAAGAGCAGGTAAATGAACAGATAAGTTGGGAAGAAAAAAAAAAAGAAAGAGTGTTGTTACCTGCAGTTTTTGGCACAACATCTGCATTCAGCTGCAAGATAATACAAATCACATTCAGATTCATTCATGCAGTGCACCTAAGACCTGCTGCTGCTGCAGGTGACACCAAGGACTTATGGAGCGGCTAGCATGCTAAGCTAACTAGCTAACCTCAATGGTGATTCTCCCCAGAGGCTCACCGTCCGCCTCGATGTCCACAAACACCAGCGGGTTCTTGGCGGCTCCGGAGGAGAACAGCCTGGCGGCGGAGATGCCCACAGAGCTGTATCTCATGCGGTTTTTGATCTGGATCATCGCTGCTCAGCTGACGGGGGGAGCTGCAGGCCATGAGAGCTGCTGCTGCTGTTTACATCATGTGGTGTCACAGCAACCAGCAGTGGGAAACAAACAGCGACACCACGTGGCCGGAAGGAGAAGAACATCCTGCACGGCCCACCATCATTTTTTAATTATTAGAATGTGTTACTATTGTGTTTTTATTGTGGTTATCTAGTCATTATAACTAATTAGAGAATTATATACATAAATTATGCCTGACCTGAGAACAACTATGGTTGTTGTCATGACAACTGAGCAACTTCATCCAAGGAGGAAGACCAGAAGATGTGTTTCTGACTGTTTCAGGTGGTTTCTAATAGTTCTGGAGTGTTCCGAAGCATATGTATGTGATTCTGATTGTTCCAGAGTGTTTTTGAATGTTTTTGAGTGTTCCAGAGCTTTCTAAGCATTTCAAAGTGTTCTAGAGTTTTTCTGTGTTTTCCACATAGTTTAAGAGTTCCAGACTGTTTCAGTGTGTTCTAGAGTGTCTTTATGGGTTTCTGATTGTTTTAAAGTGTTTGTAGGGGTTCCGGAGTGTTTCTGATTGTTTTGAAAAGTGTTTTTTATTGTCTCAGACTGTTTCTTGTCGTTCTGGAGCGTTCTAAAACGTGTCTAGAGTTTTCCTGAGTGTTCTAGACTGTTTCAAATTGTTTCTGAGTGTTCCAGAGTGTTTCCAAGCATTTGAAAGTGTTTCAGGGTGTTTTTTTTTGTGTGGTTGTGTCTGAAATCATTAAACTCACTCCCTACTACCTACTCACTATCTAGGGACCACTATATATATATATATATATATAGTGACCTATGTAATAATCTATGTAAGGAGCACCTCAGCAAAGTAACATTTCGGACATTACTGGAGCTGTTAATTATGTCACGATCTGTGCCGTAGCAGCGTAGTGCAAACACATCAAATTTACAGTTTATTCCATTGCTATGAAACAGGTAAAATAAAATTTAACAAAACATCAACAGGAAATTACTTACATTTTTATGACAAGTTTTCACGCTCTCGTTTGTCTAGTTTACATTTCGTTTCGTGTAACGCATGATGGTCCATATTGCTTGGTTAGTGACCATCGGCTGTACACTGCTTTTCACAGTGCATTGTGGGATATTTTGAGTGCAATACATAGGGTGTAACAGTTGTAACATAGCAGCTGGACAGCACTACAAAATGGCGAACACCCTATGTAGTGCACTGTATATGGTATAGCAGGTGATTTCGGACACAGCCTGTGTGTGCTTCTGTGTTTTCCGTGTAGTTTGAGTGTTCCAGGCTGTTTAAATGTGTTCTAGAGTGTGTATATGTGTTTGTGATTGTTTCAAAGTGTTTCTAGGGGTTCCGGAGTGTTTCTGATTGTTTCTGATTGTTAAGGAAAGTTTTTTATTGTTTCAGACAGTTTCTAAATGTTCCGGAGTGTTCCAAAGCTTGTGTAAGTGTTTCTGATGGTTCCAGAGTTTTTCTATGTATTCTAAAGTGCTCCAGACTGTTTCAAAGTGTTCCGGAGTGTGTATGTGTCTTTCTGATTGTTTCAAAATGTTTTGAGGGGTTCCAGAGTGTTTCTGATTGCTCTGAACTGTTTTTTATTGTTTCAGACAGTTTCTAATAGTTCCGGAGTGTTCCAACACGTGTCTAAGTATTCTACGGTATTTCTATGTGTTTCTGATTATTCCAGAATTTATCAAACTGTTTTTAAAGGGAGAAAGAAGCCATCACTCCAAAAGCAGATACAGTCACAGTTTGCAAATGCACACAGGGACAAAGACCTTAATTTTTGGAGACATGTCCTGTGGTCCAATGAAACTAAACTGTTTGGTCATAATGACCATCATTACATTTGGAGGAACAAGGGGGAAGCTTGCCAGCCTGAGACCACCATCCCAATTATGAAGAACGGGGGTGGCAGCATCATGTTGTGGGGGTGTTTTGCTACAGGAGGGACTGGTGAACATCACAAAGTGTTTTGGAGTGGCCGTCACAAAGCCCTGATCTCAATCCCGTAGAAAAATTTGTGGGCAAAGCTGAAAAGGCGTGTGTGAGCAAGACAGCTTATAAACCTGACTCAGCTAGACCAGTTCTGTCAGGAGGAATGGGTGAAGAAATTCCAGCAAACTGTTGTGAGAAGCTTGTGGAAGGAAACCCAAAATGTTTGACCCAAATCATTCAGTTTGAAGGGAATGCTACCAAACACTAAGGAAATGTATTTACACTTTGTGACTTTGACTTTGTACTGGAGTGTTCTAAAGCTTGAGCAAGTGTTTCTAGGTGTTTCTGATTGTTCCGGAGTTTTTTTTTGGTTTTTTTTTGAGTTTCTTTTCAAGTGTTCCAAAGTGTTTCTACGCATTTAAAAGTGTTCCAGAGTTTTTTTTTGTGTGTGTGTTTCTGTCCTTTCCGCATAGTTTGTGTGTCCCAGACTGTTTCAATATATGTGTTTGTGATTGTTTCAAAGTGTTTCTCAGGGTTCTGGAGTGTTTCTGATTGATCTGAACTTTTTTTTTTGTTTTACTGTTTCAAACTGTTTCTAATTGGTCCGGTGTGTTCCAAAGTGTTCCCAAGTGTTCCTGACTGTTTCTGTGTGTCTGTGGTTGTTCCATAGTTCTCCTGTTTGTTTCTTCTGACGATTTGAATGTTCAAAAGTGTTCCAGAGTGCTCATATGTTTTCTGATGGTTCCAGAGTTTTTCTGTGTGTTTAAGTGTGTCATACAGTTTTGAAGTGTTCCAGAGTCTTTCTGCGTTTTCCAGATTGTTTCGGTGTGTTCTGGAGTGTGTACATGTATCCCTGAGTGTTCCGTGATGTTTCCAAGTGTTCCAGAATGTTCCAAAGTGATTACAAATGTCCCCGAGTGTTCCAAAGTGTTTTGATGTGTTTCTGATTGTTCTCAGTGCTTCTGAGTGTTTCAGAGTTTTTCTGACCGATTTCATGACCTACATTATACTTCACTTGATAACAGCTACAACCGTCGTCATGACAACTGAGCATCTCTGTCCACAGAGGAAGACCAGAAGATGTGCCGGAAATCTTCACAAACACAAAATACACGAAGCAAAATCTAAACACAGTTCAGTGTAGATGGGTTTTTTATGAGAATATTTGTTGCCAAGCTGCTTGTTTTCAACCTCAGTAGTAAACATTTCAATTCCCCTTTAACTTGGTGTGAGAAAAACATTTCAGGAGACATTTCAAGTCGAGGAACAATGTGAAGAGGAAACACTAAAAAAGAAAAAAGCATCATACTAAACTAATGTTTCTGATTTTTTATTCATTTACACGTTGTCTTTGAGTAATCTTGTGGAATATTTTAATTGTGGCAAATTATTTACATAATTCTGAATGAATGAAATTACACATAATGCATTTTTAATCAACTGTTTATTTAACTATGTTCTAAATATCTATAGAAATGCAAGTTGTTTGAGAGTTCCAGTACTGGTCTCTGTTAGACATGTGTACATTTTGATAGACTGGCACTGAAAAGCAAATTTTCCATTCTGATGCATTGCAGTATTCCTGCTTTAAATAACTTACTGTGATGAAGAACACTAATTTTAAACATATGCAGGGGTTGTGCATTGATTTGTCTTCAGTTATGTGTTTGGTAATAGTTTGTCTGAAGTTGTCTGAGCCTTATTATGCGCAATACTGTAAATGTATACTGTCCAGCACTCCAAAAGGGGCATAATAAAAATGCTAAACCTGTTCACGAGTACTAAAAAGTCCAATCTAGCTTTGAAGCAGCTTTTGAAATCTGCAAATGCTGGATTCTTTTTAATATTTCTGAAACATAAAGCCCGTGCAGCGTGGGTTCTCTCCAGGTTCTCCAGCTTCCTCCCACAAGGTCCAAAAACATGTTGAGGTTAATTGGTGATTCTAAATTGTCCGTAGGTGTGAATGTGAGTGTGCTTGGTTGTCTGTCTCTAAGTGTAGCCCTGTGATAGACTGGCGACCTGTCCAGGGTGTCCCCTGCCTTCACCCTAAGTCAGCTGGGATAGGCTCCAGCCCCCCCTGCTACCCTAGTGAGGATTAAGCGGTGTATAGATAATGGATGGATGAAACTTAAAAGACTTCTATAATAGTAATAATGTAAATATATTCGGTTGAACCTCCTACCTACTGATTATCAGACATTGGTACCAGTGCCAGCATTCTTGACCAAGAGGGAACTTATTAGTCTCAGTATTGTATCGTCTCGGTTCCACTTGTCTGACTCGACCACAGAACACGTGAGCTTATGTTGTGTTTTTTCTGGAGCGCCGAAAGTTACTTGGATCGATCACAAAATTGCTCCGAGGCCCACAGAAGCGTTTACAGCGCCAATCTGTGACTCGCTAATTAATTGAGAAACAAAGCTGCTGATTATTTGCGATGGTAATTGAATCGATACGCTCTCGTTCAGTATTAATTTCAGCTCATGGGATAGAAAATAACTCGCCGCTCTCTGCACGCTCTCTATTCATTAACAAGTCGCTGTGGTGGTGCAGTCAAGATAAACCTTTTGTAGAAACTCTGACGTGTGATGGTCACAGCGCACAGAAAAAGAACCCTGAAACTGAAGCAACGGGAAATTAAAAACAGGTTGTTTTCCATCTATATCTATGTTTTGTTCTAAAAACAGTCGGAGAACATTTTGTGAAGTTCTAGTTAAGTTGTTTTGTTTTAGGTGCCAACAATGTTCTTAAAGGCTGGATAATGCTGTCTAAAGACATACTGAACATATTTGGTGGTACCATTGTAATGCCATTATGCCCAAACATTCCTAAAATGTTCTCTAAATGTTGCATTGAAATGCCTTTACTTTGTTATTGTGTGAAAGTCTGTAAAAATCTAGGAATCCTTTATAGAAGAGGGTTCTGTTACTTCAACAACATCCCCAGAATGTTGCCGCAAAATGTTCTATTTTTGTTAAAATATCAAATTACAGGAATGTTTTATTTAAAAAAACAAAAAAACATTCTGTAATCTGAGGTGCTAACATCTTTAAAACATTGTGAGAATATTCTTTGTTAATGGAGTCTGTGGCCCTGACAACATCTTCTAAATGGTGCACTGAAAACACCATGTTAGTTAACTTTGAAGCTGATATGAACATTATTTTAAAATATAAATATGCTGATGTTTTCTTGAAAACAGTACTAGAACCTGCATTTAACATTGGCCAATGTTGTGACTCCCCGCTAGCCTGCTAGATGGTTATTCTGCGCTATTGGAAAAGAAACTGTACAATATGTTGGTTGCACTTTGTATGTCAAAACACACAGAGGCCATAACTTGTGTTTCATCTGAATACATATTTATTAGATAAATATTAGGATGTCACGTCATCTAACTACATACAGATTTGCAAGACTAAAAATCACAATGTTGTTCTGACCAGTTTAGAATATGAAATGATTGTACATAGAATGTACAAAACCAAATAGACAACTGCCACTTGTGCCAATCACTTCAGATTGTACCTTTATAGCATATTTTTTTTTGCCAAATTGCATAAAAATTATAAATTTGACAAAACTTTTTTTTTTTCTTTTTTTTCTTAACAAACTGTAAATTTTTGGAAACAAACCCCTTAAGAGCTCACTCAAAGCTCGATGTCTCCAAGTCCCAATTATACCTCAAAAGGTTTGAATAATTTCGTAGCACCTTTATAAAGTACACAGGTAATAGCGAAATACACAGAAGTTTAATATTACACAAAGGAAAAATGTCTTTTCTTTTCTCGAACCCCGCGTGGAGGGGCACATAAAGTATCTTACATAAATGAACAGGCATGGTTAGAGAGGTCTGCACAGACGCAATCAAACACAGACTCATTTTCCCAATTCAATGTCTGACAGGAGGATGCAAGCTTTACAAATTCTAAATACACTATGCACACTCCCACTGGAGAAAATGAATACATTTCTGTTAACGTGTCTCTATTTGTCATTTACATTATATACAAATATCCCTTACATCCCCGGCCCCACCCCCGGATCCTCTGCCACAACCTCCCCCTTTGTAATGCAAATAGGTGGGGGTCTTCCCCAAATTTCATTTTTACAATATTAACCGTGTTCTCTTTTTAAATCCTCAACTCAATTTCCAATGTCTGCAATCAGACAGTACAAATTGTGTCGCTAAAATTACGAGACGTGAGTTTGTGAAAGGTTACAGTTATAATTACACACTGTGTAGGGAAATAAAACATCCCAATGCGGCAGTGCATTGTCTTCAACAAACATAGAAACAAACACAAACAACATTGGATTCTTCAGCTGTGTTATATGCAGGTGATCTGACAGTTTTTAAAAAGTAGCAAAGCCAAATTTGGTTCTTCAAATGGATTACAAAACTTAAGAGGGGGATGTTTTATCCGACAACATGTAGCATATTTTAAAATCATTGTCTGTACTGCATATAACTGTGTAAACCAAATTATACCAGTCGTAGAAACACTGGACAGAAGTAATAACTTAAAACAATTTTTAAAAAAAAACAAAAAAAAAATGTGATGAAAATACACACGTATGGTTATCAAAAGCTCAAAATCAGGCCTCGAAACAATCCAGAGGACATTTTGCACATTCTCACTTTAAATAAAGACGATGAGGTCACTTGTTCCAATAATATTAAACAAATACATTTTGGAGAAATTTGGACCTCTAAGCTGCATTATCAATCTTTTAGATAGAAAAAAACAGCTCGTTTAAAGCTGACCAATTTGTCAATACATATATATAAAAAATAAAAAGAACTCACTTACAGCTTGCCTGCAGAGAAATTCAAAAATTCTTTTTTTTTTCTTCGCTGATGCATTGTCACAGGGTAATGGGAAAAAACTGTACACAATACACAGGTACTCAATACAAGACCAGTGAGAGTGCATTTGGATCACTTCCTTACAATATTGGACTGGTTATCAGGGACTGTGTGTGTGTGTTTGTAAGTGTGTGTGAGTGTGTGTAGTCTTTGACAGACACACAGTACCATGTAGTTGCCAGTAATAGTTAGGTACAGTACTGTACAGTCACAACGTATTCACAAAGGGTATATACAACAGCTCTGGAAACACTGTTGGATCATGCAGGATGTTTTTTTCCCAAAAGGATGCAGTACGGCAGTAACAAAACGACAAAAGGAAAGATCAGTACAGTCACACAGATGTTTTTTTCTTTTATATATATATATCTATATATAAAATACAGTGATGTAAAAACCTCTGAAGATGTTGAAATCCTGCTGTTACACCAACATAATATCCAGACCCAACCCCTTACAAAAAGCATAGGACAACTGTGGTGTATCTGATTAATTTCACTGCGGGACAGAGATAAAACATATAGAAAGACGAGAATAAAAACACGGATGACTTTGAAATAAAATAATAAATATAAAGACGAGAGAGAAAATGATTCGATCAAGCACATTGAGGCTGGACAAAGACAACAGGAGCCGTTGGCACACATGCACTTGTGATCAAAAATGGTGCTGAATCTGACGAGGAGAACGTTACAATAAATACGCGAGAACAGCGGCAGACTGGGCGGAGAGAAAAAGAACTGAGACAGCTCTTTGAGTCGATTGTTTTCTCTCCCTCCCATTCACTGTTTTTCTTCCCTCCTCTGTCTCAAACTCTCTCTCCCCGCTGTCTTTCACATACGCTCGCAGGCAAACAAAAGAGGACATGTAAACAGACACACACATATATACAGACACACACACACACACTGACACACTCACACACACTACCATTGCACAATGTGCGCTCGTTTCCTTTGTTGACACTCAAGGACATTTTAATATGTCCTTTCAGTGCTCTGATTCTGATGAGTTCCAGTTATTCAACTGTCACACACACACACTGGGAAGTCAGGGGTCAAAGGGCACGGCATACGCCAAAGTTTTGGAAGAACACATTTCAAATAGGATAAAAACACTCTTACGAGACAATGGTTTTCCCTCCGACTCTTGTCTTTTTTCAAAAAGGAAAATTAATTTTTAAAAAAGACAAAAAAACAAAACAAAGCTACAACACTTCCTAGAGCCCACAAGGCTCCTGTCTCCTCTGTGTTGTTTACGTATAATGATTATAGCTGCACAGTTTTCAGTTGAAAAGTCACAAATATCTTATATGTATATTTATATATATATTTTAATATATATATATATAGATATAATATCACTTTAGTGCCCACCAACATGGCTGTAAATGGTGTGTTTTCGAGTCTGAGGCGGTGGAACTGGTGTGTGGAATCTTAAAAGGGAGTGCATGGATGAGTGGCGTCCCTGCTTCCTCCCTTGGAGTTCACAAGCAGGTACCTCTTTTCAGCCGCGCTCCTCCGCCACACACTGTCTGTTGAGGAACTGTTCGTGTGCGCGTGAGCAGAGAAAGCTGCTTGAAGTGTTGATAGGAGGTTGGTGAAGTGTCTGTGGACGGACAGTTAAACACATCACGGCTCCCGTAGGTGCAGGAGGGTTTTGAGGGGGCTGAGGGGCTAGTTGTTCTCGAAAAGGGAGAGAAGGTCGTCGTTGCTGTTGGCGGGAAGGTCGGGAGGGTCCAGGTATGAGAGTAGCTCCTCTGGATTGGCCAGCTCTGGAAGCAGCTGTGGACAAAAGGAAGAAGAAAAAAAACAAAACTGTGATTGGCATTTTCCCTAATGCTGGATGACTTAGAATCAAGTGTGTACATAAACATAGCTACCACTGCTCAGAAGCAATTTGAGAATCAACAGAGCACACAGCAAAGAGATGAGAGCAGCTGCAGCCGACAATGTTAGCTGTTAACAGGTAGCTCGTGGCACCCAAAGCAGACACACTTACATCCAGGGAGGGTTCGGGCATATCCTGGGCTCCCTGACCCATCTGCCCATCTGAAGAGGGGTTAAAGTTCAGATCGCTGTGGGGGTGACTGTTCTGCCCAGGATGCTGAGGCTGCGGCTGAGGCTGCGACTGGCGAGGCGGCTGCGATGATTGGCCGCTGTGATGCAAGGGTTGCCCTGATTGGCCACTGTGATGTAAGGGCGGCCCTGTTTGGCTGCCAGGGTGGGGAGACGCATGCAAGCTCTGCTGCATGGAGTTATGGGACTGATCGGAATGGGACATCTGCAGGTGCGAGAGGCAAACAGAAAGCGAAAGACAAACAAGGAGAGTGAGAAACAAGAAGGAAGATAAAGTGAGAGGGACACAAAGAGGGAAGGAGAGAGTGTTAAGAGGAGGGGGGAGGGAGGGGAGGCGAAATGAGTTCCAGCGTGAATAATATGGAACAGGCCTTTTAAATGGAAGCTGTGATCAGCAGACATGTGCAGCTGCAACATTATACGGTGACATGAGCATGTGAGCATGACTGAGCACACATGCTGGCCAGAGGCACAGGCTGCACCTTGTTCAGATAACAAATCTGTGTTTTCACTGTGGCACAGATTGTCTAGAGATTTTCTTCTATAAGCTAAGTACTCAATTATGCTAGAGGACCAACTTAGCAGTAGATAAAAAAAAAGACACCTAAATGTCAGATCAAGCATAATCTTATTTTAAGCCAGCTTGATTCCAAACAAATGTCATTTATGGTTACAAAGGCAAGAGAAAGCAAGCAGCTCTGCAAGTCACATCCACTTACTGCATCATTCATGCCGTGATTGAGAGGCTTGTCCTGGGAGAGGAGACCACCAGGTCCATCTGGGGGGTGGGAGAGCTGAGGGCCATGGATGAAGTCATTCATAGGAGGACCTCCTCCACCAACTCCACCACCAGAGGGGTTCCCGTGAGGAAAGTCAAAGTTCCCTTGGCTGTGGTAACTGTTGCCTTTAAGGACAAGAAAAGAAACACTTCTTTTGTCAAAGACTAAGTGCAGTTTGGCCTTGCTTGCTTGTTTGATGAATCCCTGTAGTTGCAAAAAGTTACCTTTTCAAAGTGGTTACATAACAGGATACACACTTTCTTTCTTTTTTTTCACTGTTGTGAAACATTTATCAGAGCAGTAACATTTTAAAACAGTTTCAGCATAAAACTCTCCTTGGGGCTGTTCTTTGTTTAATGCACTAGAGACACATCAATAGTTTTCTGCTGTAAAATGCACAACAGCTCATTTTTCCAACAAATGAGCTGACTCTCCTGTTATTTATCTACACGGTACAATCCTGGCTGCTTTTCTTTACCTGCTCCTGGGTAATCTCCCCCGTTGCCGCTGGCGTGCTGACCGGGGTGCGGGGGGTAGGGGCTGGGGCCTGGTCCGGGGCCAGGTCCAGGTCCTGGGCCGGGACCAGGGCCGAGTTGCGCGATCATCTCCATCACATTGGGCATGGTCATCTGACTCGGGCTCATGGTTTTAAAACGCTTGGCCAGCGGTCCGTCAGGGTCTTCTTTGATGTGTAGCTCAGACTTAATGGGGACAGGTCGCCAGCTACATGTGGGTTCTATAGTAACCTCCTCAAACTCTGAACTGTGGGAGGAAAAGGTAGATTGTGTTGGTTTCATTTTGAAATAACAAAATCAAACTTATGGGTGCATTTAGCATGGGAAGGAGCAGTAACCTACTTTTGGATGGCATTGAGGATTCCCCACATGTACTGGTCCACCTCCAGACCTTCTAATAATGCTGTTTTACTGAAAGAGGGAAATAAATACATTAGATACAATCTATTAGAGGCATTCCATACAAGCAATCTCATCATTACATCCCAAAAATATCACTTACTTGCACACAGGACACCTCCATGTTCCCCTCTCACAGTTGAGCTGCAGGTAGGACTCCAGATCAAAACACTGTGGAGAACAACATCGCAATGCTCATTAGAATAATATTCCCCAATTCACCGCGGTACGTGACGCAAATTTTCATTAACGATATAGATTTATAGCGTGAACGAACCTGGACGTGTTTGCAGTCATGCCCTCGTGCGGGTAGCTGGATGCGTCGGAAGGTGATGGGACATTTCAGCGACACTTTAATGGCCGTCTGCTCCACGCCGTCTTCCCCGTTAAGAGTGGTGTTGCCGGCCGAGGCCGCGACGCTGCTGAAGTTCCTCTTAACTGTAAAGAGAAAGCCTTTTAGAGGGAGCCTACTACTTGGCGAACAGTCACAGGCGCACTGAAAGGACTGTTTAAAAGTAAAGAGAAACAGGTGTGAGCTCGTGTAATTAAGATGTACTTGTGCATATTAACTAGAATAAGAGAGAAAATTAGCCGTACTCTTGGTGATGCAGTGTTCTGCAGGAAGGAGTCTCTTCTTCAGGAGCCCCTGGAGGACGGATCGCACAGATGGCCTGTGGACCAGCTGAAGCACAAACAGGTGGGACTGCAAACAAAAGAACATGAAAACAAACAGATTTAGCACAGACAGCTGAACCTCATGTCTACGCCGCACAACAAGTATCCCGACTTAATCATCTGTGTGCAAATCACTCCAGCTGATCTTTTTGTTGAATGAACTGAATTTACATTTGGGTGCTGCGAGCAGGAACACACTGCTCCGACAAAAAAGTGTACTCACGCAACAGCAGGCGGTGACCGTAATTTGGATGGTGTTCCTCCCGGGTTGGCATACGTGCTTCAGGTGCAGGGGTTTGTGGGAGGTTTTGTTGTCTCCCCTCTCGATGGTGAGGGGCGTGGCGTTGACGCTGACCTGGACGGAGGCAGGCCAGTTGGTGTTCATTTGCCTGTCTTCGTGGTGGTAGCACTTAAACTGCAGCTCAAGGTCTGACCTATGAGGGTCACAGGAGGACAACAGTTGGCTGTAACAGTCAGAAAAACAACAAGAAGGGCAGATGCTGTGTTTCCGTGAGAGTTTTGCATGCTACAGTTTACGATCCAAAAAAAAGTCAAATTCTTGGCCTACTATTCAATAAAAGTACTGAACAATGTGTGATTTAACGTCAATTTACAACAGCCTTCTGACATGGTTTCCTTTAAAAACAAAGTATATATACCTAACATCAAGCCAAAGAAATGTAAGGGAGTTACAGCTAACAAAGATTTTCACCAAGTCCATCACATTTATATGGATTTAAATTAACATCTTAAATAGCAGCACTTTAAGCTTAACCACACAGTTCCATAATCTGTTGCCCAGTTACCCAGTGTTCCAATTTAAAAAGATTCTGTTAAATAACCCACATATATGTTTGATCATAAAATATAAGTACTCTAAACTTCAACCAATTTGAAGACAGTTGCTTTACTGTAAAAATGTTATGACCCACAGCATGTGATTGTAATGCGCTAACAGGAACAAATGGTAAACTGTGCGGCCCTACCTCCACATGAGGGTCTGGTGGACGGAGGGTCGAAGGTGGAAGACGTGGTTGCTGACAGCCAGGTTGTGCTCCAAGCGGAACGGTTCCAGCACCACTCCATCCCTGACTGGGAACGTCAGTCGCAGCTCCTCATTGGGGTTAGCTGGAAGGGAGGGAAAACAGGGGTAAGTAAGATAAATTTTAATCTAAAGACCCTTTATGGGATACATGACACTACTGGATTTACTGATCTGTAAAGTGATCGCTTGTGTAATTTAGACATACGGACATCCTCATGGATTCATTCAGACTTATCCACCACAGTGCCAGAGACAGACATGAGGTATTTGTCATGAAGTTTGGAACAATAAACCAAGTGATCTATAATGCAGCTTCCTTGCTGTGGAGATGCTCATATGGATTCTGCTGTTGTCTGATGTTGGAGATATTCAATAAACACAGAGGAAAAACTCCTACAAGCAGCTGGAAGCAACAAACTAAACTTCAGTTCTAGTTAATGTATGATGTGGGAAGAAAAACTGCTTATTGGTAAGCACCATAAATCTAAGCGGTTAATGTCTGGCTTTATCGCAGTAAAGTTAAATTATCATGGGTATTTCAGTTTGTAGCAGAATAGATTTGAAAATGTAGAACATACAGAATGAGGCATGTTTCGTGATCTTGGCACGCAAAATGACACTGGTGCCGAAATGTGGAAAAACCCACTTTATACAACTTGCTTGCACATGCCTTTCTGTTGATAAATTAGGTGCAGTTCAGACTTGTGCCATGTTAAGTGACACGGAAATGTTACAAGGTCCAACCTAGTAAGATTTCCGTCACTATTTTTAGAATTAAAAGTGTGCACAGTGCTCATTCAGATATAAAGCCAGCACATTCAGTTGCCGTCAGATTATGGAAAAGGAGTGCACGTCTAAAAGGTGCTTAATGCCGGTAAAGCAACAGGATAAGACAAAAGAGTACAATGAATAAAAGCAGACAAATGGTCCTTGTTTCAGGCCTGCTGAAGGTACTCACATGGAGGAGGCGGAAGCGCTGTCATATTTGGTTTCATGTCGGGTGGAAACGGAGGCTTCACATCCTGGTTTGGCGACAGATACGGAGGAATACTACTTCCTGGAGTCATAGGGGGCGTGGGGTTTCCAGGAACCGGTGAGTGGGGGTAGTTACCGGGTCTGGGAGGCTGCAAAAAGCAGGAAAACGCAATAATGCAAACTTAAGTCATTTTGCATATATGACTGGATCACGTTCAGTACAAAGTTCTTGGCATGAAATTGAACTTTCTTTGGATAGGGAGTGAAAACTTACCCCATTGCCTTGGCCGTAGGAGTATCCACCGCCGGAGAAATTGGTGCTCTGACCGTTGAAAGGCTCTTGCTGTAGGCGAATAAAAAAAACAATCCAAATTTGATATAGCTCCTTCTTGTCCCAGACATATTCTACAGTTTGATTCAAAAAGTCCTAAAAATGTGTCCCTGCTGTTTGCACAGTGCATAAAGGGCTTTAGCCCCTCTTCTGACCCAGAGTATGGATAAATGGTTTGGAATAACCAACCTTGTAGTACTGGCCCATAGGCATGCCAGGTGTGTACTGCCCTTGGCCCTGCTGCCCTGGCATCCTCTGGCTGGGGTAGTTAGGAGATGGCAGCGGTCTGGAGGCATTTGCTGTGGGGTACTGTCCCTGCTGTGGTTGGAACTGACTGTTTGGCCCATACTGCTGACCGGCATAACCTCCCTTGAAGAGGAAATTTAAAGGAAAAGCCGTGAAACATATGTTTAACATGCTACAGGAAACTTAATCCCTAGATTGCTTTAATTATCTAACCTTCCCACTCACCTCCCCGGGATACGGCCTCTTCATCCCCTGCATGGGCATGCCCTGCCGAGGTCCTCCGGCATACCCTTGTTGAGGCATCCTTTGGCTGTGAGCTCCAAAAGGCGTCATGCCTGGGGTTCGAGCCTGGTTCATGCCCATTGGAGGCCCACTCATATTGGGGTTGTTCATGGCTGATCCCATGCTGGCTGGATTCATTCCTCCAGGGGGCCCTCGTGGGCCTGGCTGGTTCATGAACTGGCTATTGTAGGCTGGAGCAGGGCCCATTTGGAACGATGGACACATCTGAAGGCAAAACAGACAGTTTAAGTGTTAAACATGATTACATTGGGTCTCCTGCTGGTAGTGGGATGACAGATTTGTATGTGTGTCTGTTTTACTATTTTGCCAAGTGATTACAGCTGAAAACATCTGTCAGCAGGGGTGCACTGTACCTGTCCATACTGGTTCATATCCTTATTTTGGGTTTCCTGCAGAGCTGCCACAGTAGCCGTTGCTGTGGCTGTTGCCGTAGCAGCAGCGGCAGCAACAGCAGCAGCTGCAGCAGCGGCAGCTGGCTGAGTGAAGTCACCAGGAGGACGTGTGTGGGAGGTCATTCCCATACCTCCTGGTGGGGCATTCGGGCCTCCAGAGTAACTGTAAAAAAAAAACAAAAAAAAAACAGAAGGTATGTTTTAATCGTTATGCTAAAATGTAAATGCTTCATTGTTTGAAGTAAAAACAACACTCCAATGTCCAGGTTCTTACCTCCCGCTGTATCCCCCAGGACCGCCAGGGTAGCCAGGCCTGCCGTACATACCCTGCTGCATGTACGATTGGTTTGAACCTCCTTTGCTTGGGAACTGTTGCTGTTGAGCATTGAACTGTGGAGAATTGAGCCCTGCTGCGCTGGCAGACATGCCCGATCCCATAGGGTTACCTCCAGGATTCATGGGGTTATTGCTGTTCACCATTGGGTTACCCAGCACCTTTATTTAACACAGCGTCATCCAGGAAGGAGAAATGTCCATTAGGTTTTAAAATACAGCACACAAACCATCTGAGTCAAACAGTGGTTGCTGAACTTATATAATTATAGAGTGGGTTGTTTTCTTGCATGGACATACCTGACTCTGTGACGTGTTGGTCACTCCCCACACTGTTGTAACCACAGACAATGACCCAGGGGGCTGGTTGGTGTTTTGTTGCCAGGGGACAGAGTCATAGGGAAAGGATCCATCACTGGAAAGTAGACCAAAACACAAACATGTGCCTGATGTCATTTGAAGTTGTGAATGATTTGGGGATTCTTCTTGCCAATATGTTAGGCAATTTCAAATGTCTGGCATTCAATTTCAAAACATATTTCGAGCCAGAATATCTGCTAAAGGCTGCTCAGTGAAGTAAGTAAAAAGTTCCAAAAGAGCTGATAAGGAGTTCCATGTCCCTGTGCACCAGCAAAAAACTAAATATGATTAAATTAAGTCTCTGAGTTGTTGAAAACTATTTGGATATGCAGAGGTGTAACGCAGCTGGAATGTTTAGTATTCACATTCATAACAAATATCGGGGCAAAATATGAGAGTCGGCTTCATATAATAAACAAACTAAATCCTCATGGGGAGAGGCAAGTGGCCAGCAGAGTGGGAAGGAACTGCTGTTTTTGGAGTGCAGCTTGTTTTCACTCAGAGGTTAGCTCTTGGAATGGACGACTTGTTCAATATTTCCTCATAAAGGCACAACATTATCCCAAGATTCTCAGCAGAGGCAAACAGGACTCTTGGCTAACTTGGGGCTCTCTTTGAGAGTGAGAGTGAAAGAGAGCGAGGCATGAGCACACAATGTTCTCCGAAAACATGACTTCACATCTCTCTTCCCTGTTGGTTAGTCCCTCCACCCCAAATCAGTTCAGCTCCGCTTACAGTAATTCTGGCTTGTCTCCAGACAATGGAAATCCTTTGTGTCTCCGCATGTCTATCTTATAAGCACTGAAGTCATGATAATACCCTATTGACAACCAACCCGGTCTGCTAAAGAACTTTAATGAATAAGTTTGCTGCTTTGCACATGCAAATGACTCATCTCTGTTAATTTACAGACGTACATCGCTGACTTCCACTGCCCTTGATACTCATCTTTTTTTTTTTTTTTTTAAGGGGGAGGGAAAACTTGAAACAAACAACCTTGAGCTGAACTGGGTTTTACCGTAAGATAGCCACAGTCATCTGACAGGATATGTCTCAGAGACTCCCCACTGACCTGTGTGTGAGGCCAGGCTTCATGCTGTTCATGCTGGGCTGCATGGGGACTTTTCCCTGCGGCTCGTTCTGCCTGTTCTTCTGGTGACGCAGCAGGAGGAGACGACCCAGCTCCTCGCACCACGACGACAGCAGGGCTGCAAGGAAAACACAGCAACACACACATATGCACATGCGTTAGTCTCCGCTCGGCCCACATACTTGCATGAATATGGGTTTGCAGTGTTTTTATCATGTTATGGTTCTGGGTGTGAATGATCAGAGAATTTTCTTGTTTCACCTACAACACACTTTTAAATCAAACAGACACATTTGTTCTGTCAAGCGTCTCAATGGCACAGCAGTGAATCGTGTGTCCAAAGCGATTCGGGCCTGAAGTTATTGCTAAAGCCTCCAGGGGGCAGACTAATGCAATAAACTCGCATTGATTATCTGAATGTGTGGATTTCACAACCGCTCCATATCTACCTGCAGCGTAAAATGTAAACTGAAATCTATCCGCAGCACAAAAGTCCTCCTGAGTTTTTCCGCCACCGAGAGGAGGGAAAAGCTAAAAAGGAGCACGCGAGGCTGACGGAGACAGAGTGATCGGGGTTACGGATAAGATCTATGTAGGAAGTAAGAAACAGAGATATCTCCATTTCCTCCACTCATCACCACTCTATTCTCTGTCATGTCCTCACATATCCCTAAGGACCTATCAGCCGTCTCATCCTCTTCAAGAAGACAAGAGTTGGGATATTTTTTGTCTTGTGCCAATGATGTGCCAATTTTATTTTTTGTCCCCCCCCTCCTCATGCCAATCAACTTGTCTTTTTTGAATCAACCTGTGTTTTGTGGCTTATTTAAACACGCCGCCTCTTGATAGTAAAAACTTCTCTTGACAAACATCAACTTAACAAAAGAAAGGTTACCGTGTTCAGCACTTTATTAAATATTTGAAGAGGCTATTTTTAGGCTTGTAGACCCAGATACACCAGTTTTAGAAAGTGCTGTTACTAGGTTTGGGGTTTTTTAAGAGGTAGATTTTTCTCGAAAACACGATCCGTGACGATGAAATTGGCTGTGAAGATTTACAAGGTGGCATGCAACAAACGTCCGTCAAAACGAAAATTGTCCTTTCTTTTCAACCACATTTTTATTTTCATTTAATAAGTGGTGTGGCTTAATTTAAACCTTGTTCACATTTAAGCACTCTACAGCGAGTTGTGCCATTTGTAACATGTACAGTATGATGTACCAAATTGCTCGAGCTAATAATATATTTTCTGAATGATTAATATCGGATCTGACAGGTGACTATTCACAAAGACAATCGGGGAAAAAAAAAAAAAAGGAGAGGAGTGAAGGGGAGGAAAAAAAAAAACAGAGAGAAAAGGAATGAAGAACAAAGGAGAGGAGCAGCAACATTTTCTTGTGGAGGGTGGAGAGAGCCAAGCCTCCTAGTTAAAGAGGAATTATTCCACCCTGCCATTACAGGGAGCTTATCTCCCCACTAAATCACCACCTCCACACCGAGGGACTGTCTCTTCAACTGGCAACCCACCATTTAGACCTAAAGCTCCGAGCGCAAGTGATGGAGTCGCTTTGAGGGAGAGGAAAGAGATAGAGGGACAGCGAGGCATAGGACAAAAGAGAGCGGCGGTGACTTATCACATCAGTGTGGCTACGAGCTACCGAATCTAACAAGCTGCCAAGGCCACAAGTCATTCATAATAGAGTGAGGGTCCGCTCGGGGCCATCGTGCATATTTAGCAAGCTTAGTACAGTGTACATGAACTTGTTTTCACCTCGCAGTCCCCTGTGTTAAAACCCCTGCCAACACCATCACACACCCACAACTACACTGCCACAGTCCTTTCACTCTGTCTCTTTACCCTACATAAATGCCCTTCTACCATACCCTGCACATCCACATTCCTCTCAGTCGTTTTCTACTTCTCGGCACTGACTCCGGTGTCATCTGCCTGAACTGTTATTCATTACGATGTTTAGTTAACTTCACTAATAGAGAATATGAAGCAAAGATGCCAAGAGTGCGGACATTTCAGCCAATAAAAACAGAAGCGTATAAAGACAAGGTCTCTGTCTCATTACGCCTCTCCCTTTCTTCCTCTTTTCATTCACTGCCATTTCATTTACACTAAAGCTTTGTAGTTAAATCACACACTTTACACTGAAGGGTCAAACTGCTACCTGGCGGAGGCACGCCAAGGTCTTTTGCTGAAGCCTTTTTTTCCACGCAGTACTGTCTTTTCATCAGCGGCTCATACAAAAAGTCTGCAACATTAATTAAAACTAGTCGGAGTGTAAAAAGGTTTATGGAGTAACAATGACATAATACACGACAGTGAACCACATCCAGTGAGTTTCTGTTTAACAAGTTGGATTTACTTCCACCGACGAGTGAATTTGTCCTCGCGTTTCCGAAACACTGCCTATCCACAGCAGTAAGTAGCAGCTCTGCAGAACGTCAGAGCTGCTTGATAATGTGTTGACAGTTGACAGTTCTGTGGGAAAATAGAAAGATTGCAGCTACAGGATGTAACGTTCGGTTTATCAGGAGTTGTGATCATGTTGCCTGAAGGCCACTTCTACAATACAGATAAGTGATAGTTGTGAGTCTAACATTAACAGTTTTCTTCTTTCTGTGCACAAAATCACTACAATAACATCATAGTTTGAAATAACTGTTTCGACTCATAGGATCCTGTACAAAGGAGAGAGTTGGTTATGCTACTATGTGTGTTCACTAAATCACAGCTCCACCATCCCTCTTTGAAGACGTTTAATGCTGTGTGTTTCCCTGTCCTTGAGAGAAGCTGCTGCTGAGCAGTAAATGAGTTTATCTAGGCTAATCTCACTATTCAGACCTTTAAACAGTGAGCAAATACATCAAAATGGATTAATGGTTAAATAAGAAGACAAAGAATTCAAGAAATCCACGCAAAAGTCTCCTTCGTCTATCCTTAGTTAAATACTGACGAAAAATACGACAGTGATATTCAAGCATCTCCAGCTCAACTGTATTGCACTGAGGGGTTTTCCATACCCTGATTGATATTATCAGCTGGCTGATAATACCGGCTGATATTGTCCTTTCACAGATATATCCGCACATTTGATATACAGAGATATAAAAACATTCTTTTACAGACCTTAATACAGGAGAAAAGATGCTTGGGGAAATTTAAAAACTGTGTCATTGCATAGTTAGTCCAGCAGAGCAGCTCCAACTCCAATGCAATACTGTCAGCACTGTTTGCAGCACATGTAGCAGAGTAAATACCACAGCCGAGCAGAAAGTGGTGCAGAGTCAAGCTTTGTCTTCATGGTAAATTGCTGACTAATTTGTGAAATACTTCCACAATATATCTCTCTCTATATATAATACAGCATAAAATCCATAATGTCCCAATAACTCCAGCATCGGCTCCAGTCTTTCTGTTGGATTGTCTGACAGGGGCCTGGACACCGAGTCCTCCCCTTACCAAGTGGTCAGCTCTCATGTCCTGCTCTGCAGAGAGAGCAGGACATAAGCTGATTTCTCCGGAACCTCTCCTGAACCCTCTCCAACCGGCTCCATTTCTTAGAAGCTGGGGCTTTTAATTGAGTAATGCGCACAGACATATGGGTCCTCCTCACTCAAGCTGTATTTAATGCTGTATAGCTGACTGATAGCAGAAGCCCTGGCTCATTCTCACCTCACCTCAGCCCCTCTGGGAGCAGCAGGGAGGGAGAGTAAGCCCTGGTAACAGGCTGCAAGGCCCATTAACTAATGACAGAGTGTGTGTACAAGTCCTTTTTACAAGGAAACCCAAATGCTAATTACTATGAACTCTGACAGTGCTGTGTGTGCGCGAGCATCTGCGTGTGTGGTAAAAGCCTTCTGCTACTGAGCATATCATTTGCCAACGAAATCATGACAGACTGCTATTACTTTAAATGTGTGCACCCCAACATAATTCAGTTAGCTGCGTGATCGTGAGCCCACTTTGTTGATAAACACCTGACATGTTTTAAACGTGGAACCGGCGATCCGCCACATGTACAAACTGGGTACACTCAACTCTTTTCAGCGAAGATGCCGAAGCCAACAGCAGAGGAGTGTTACTGAGTTGGATAGTTCCCAGGTGTGAATCACTGTACAAAATCTGCTATATGGCTGCTGAGACAGACTTTTAGTTTGAGAGAGAGAAGAAGGAGAATACACTAAAACAGCCCTACTTTGTGTCGTTAAATGGTAGTTATTAAGCGAACGTTGCATCCACTGAAATTGTCATAACCAACATAACCTATTCTCTCCTGCAACCAATTGGTTATGTTGTAGCTCATGGTAGATGTGTTAAATCAGCAGCAGAGCTCACCAAGGATGGATTAAAATGTGTAATTTTAGGATATAAAAAAAAACAAAGCCAACCATGCCAGTGAAACTGCTGGTATGTCAGCCTATTTATGGCTTGAGCAGTGTAACATAAAATTACTTAAATATGACAAAATATGCAAATGAAGCATGGTTATTTGCTATATTTGTGTGCAACAATTAAAAACAGGCAACTGTGAGTAAGTTACCTGAACCGTTCACAAAGCCGATGTGGCGTCTAGTGTTGTGCAGGGAAACATTTTCACACTTCATTGTTGTTGGCATCCTGCCATGTAGCAGAGTGAATCCCCCAACCAACCACTTAACTTCACTATGAATATAATGTTAGCTTCTTTTTAATAATGTCAACCAGCGCACGCTTTTTGGGAGTCACCCAAAAAACATTCTCAGCCGTAAGAACACAACCAGAGACCAGGACAGTAAGTGTTGCCAGCTTAAGTGTATTATCAAAAATCAGTCGTGTTTGTTTTCCCAAATCAAAAAGAAAAAGGCAGCACCCAAGTGGTAATAAAATAAAAAAGGAATCAGCTCAAGTCTTGACAATGTGAATCTCATTTACAACTACAAGTGGAAAAATATGCTGATGAGTTTTGGCATCAAGTTTCAAAAGCTTTCATCAGAAGACTCCGTCGTGACACCTCTTTCTTGAATTTGTTTTGGGGAAACAAACACATTGCAGCTTTCAATGCACAACACACCACAGAAATTTAGTGCAAGAGAAGTGCACCTGTTTCCTCTTAAGGATGCAGTTACAGCCATGACTGTGCACGAATACACCATGATACCAACATGTCATCAATGATATGTTACCTACAGTATCAAGCCGCAGCTGTGGCTCTTTTATTGAAATGTCAAATTCATGTTTTAGCGGCTACATCCAAGAGACTTTCTGTAAAGATGATGTTCAATTTGACTGTTGTAGCCTCATTGGTTTGGATGGTAAGACAAAGCAAGGATTGGTAGCAATAAAAGGCGCTAAAGGAGCTTTGTAAAACAGAGAACTGCAACCCTAAGACGCCACTGTCCATGATCATCAACTTCTTCAGGTATAAACTTGGACGTTTCCATTATACGGTACAGCTGACTAGATTGGTTTGCACAAAAGCCCAACAGGAGTTTGTGCCAAATTCATCAAAAGCACTGCAATAATTGTGGAGGATTTAATCAGTCGAATCTTCAGATGAATGCACATCTCTGCTCTCATACTGTACATCCTCTGCTCCTGAAATTACCAAACATCTGTCTGTCGCTGGTTACGCTAAGCTTTGATAGAGACATGTAATACCGTGCATGCACCTCCATCGTAGGTGTGTTGATAGCACCACAAACAAAGAAGAAAATACTACATGAAAAATTCTGAGCATGAACACTGCAGCACTAGACAGAGAAGCCTTCTGAGACAATGTGTGGGATGATAAAAAAGAAACAATTTATAATAGATATCATAAGCAGAGGTCTGTTAAACACTGGCAGGTAGGTCTGTGCTGTGTGGGTACAAAATATTATGCAAAAAAGACGAATATGGAGGGGATATAAAATCCTCTGAAATAAAAAAAAATAATAAAAAAAAATAAGTCATGCTTTTTGCCGAAGTGTAATGGAAGCCATTTAAGCAGTCAATGATATCCCCCTTCCTGCCCCCTCTCTGTTAAGCCAACTTCTTCCAAGAGAAGAGCATATCAAATGGGCTTTAGTCTCAACAGCTTGGAGGCAGAACAACTCAAACATGCCCTGCAGAGAGAGAGCTCGGTGTCAGAAATCACACTCAACCAAAACCAGGCCTTTAATGTAACAGTTCACACAAATCAAAAATATTCCAAATCTGAAACTCTCACTTCAAATGTCTTATTTTATCTCTTTTTTTTTTTTGCTTTTTTATTTTATTAAATGTTTAATTTCCCATACTGGTTTTGTAAACTTGCACTGAATAAAACAATGCAGTTTGCTCTATCTGGCTGGTTTAACAGAATTCCATCCACAACCTCTGGCATTAATCCAGATATGAGGACAGAGGAGGGGAGCGAGGGGGAGGGGGGGGGGAGAGGATGGATGGAAGGATGCTACACAGAGGACAGGTGGAGATGGAGGGAGTGGGCGGATCCCCTCCTCCCCAGGATATGTGTGGGTCACAAGCCAAAGAGATGCTGCAGCCCAGAAGGGAGGGTAGCTCTACCTGAGTCACTCTGACATCTCCTGCAGGTGCTGGTTTCTGTGGGGTTCAAATTACACATTTTTAAACGGGGCAGAGTTATAAGAATCAGCATAAACACCAAACATTATGCAGTATGATGGCTAGATCTGACTAAAGGTGCAAAATGTCGGAGCTCCAGTGGGAAATGTGGGACCTCCGTGTCCGGTGTGGCCGCCGAAAAACAACAAACGCCGTTTATTATATTTTTAATGTATTGCGGGTCATTTGTGGTCAAGCTGAGCTCGACGGAGATTCGCTGCAGAGATGAACATTTCTTTTTTTTTCTTCTTTTCATATTTATTATTGCAGCTTTAAATGGCTGTTCTCGTGGGATATTTTCCATTTATGTTCTGTCACAGACTACAAAGGACAAGCACCAGACTGCAAAGCTTATATCCCCTGTATATAACAGTTAGAAATGTATTTAGCAAAGGAATGAATGGTCTCATTTCAAACCCCAAAGTACATTTACGTCCAAAAAAAAAAAAGGCTCCCTCAGTGAAACAACAAAGTCTCTTTGATTAATCTGACAATTACTTTCTCCTTTAATCAAACATGTAAAAAAATCCCTTCACCATATTCTATAGCACAAGGTCTTTAAATTGCTTGTTTAATCAAACTATGGTTTCAAAACTCAAGATGTTCCATTTATATGCATATAAAACAGAAAAAAGTAGCATTGTTTTCCAATGACTGATGTATTTCTTGTGGTACATTTGCATCCTGTGAGGCCAGTTGCATTGGTTTCATTTGTTATGACTATCACTGACCTATGGATGGGGGATATGAAACTCAGGTGACTGGTGCTTCTGCGTCAGATGCTCTATGACTCATCCTCTCCTCCCTAAATTACTGAGCCCGGGGTCACGGCCTTCCACATCTGGATTCGGGAACACTCACAGCCATCCTACATGGTCGTACATCCGCTACCCACATCAAATAAGCAAATGTGCACAGATTTGTACTCGAGGTCACGTGAAAGTAAACAGGGAAATACACGTCTGCACACAGGTATGTGGACGCAAACATGCGCACAAAAAGAGAAAAAAAAAAAAAAGTAAATATGGAAACTGAGGTTTGTGTTAGTGGGTAAACAAACGCAGTCAGTGTCTGAGCTTTGCGGAGATGCGCTTATACAGTAAAGCACCTCACATGGCTAGAAAGAACATCAGAGAACAGCGAGCTGTGAATGAACCGCTCTTATCAGCCACGTGCAGCTCCCCACCACTGGAGGGGAACTAGTAAATATCACATGCTTAATTATAACCAGACACGCTACTTGTCTCAACTTCCACAATGAGTCTTTCATCTCGCAATGTTGTTCCTTCAATGAAATCATCAGGGTAAAGAACACAATCAAGAATTCCGAGATTTCCCGCGGCGGTTCTTTCATACTATAAGACAATGATTAAAAAGTGATGAAATTCCAGCTGTGGCCCTTTTTCCGTGCGTGTTAGCAAAGGGAGATTTCTTGAGGAGCGGCCACCAGAAGATGCCGAAGCACCTCGGCCGAAGCGCCGGATGGATGTGGAAGTGATTAACAAGGCCGAAGAATTGAAGCGTTTCCTGAAACACAACCTGGAATCCTGCCGTACCGCCCGAGGCGCCGAGAGCTCCTCCCTTGCTGCTATCAATACTTGACATCAGCTTGTCCTACCAGAAATTCCTTTCTCAATTCTCAAGAAAAGAATCTAACACAACTTTACTTTGGCCTCCTTGCTTTTAGTGAGGAGGAGGGACGGATGTGAAGCGTGGCAATGATTCACAGAAAAAGCAGAAACAAACTGCGAAAACAAAACACAGGCCGCACAAGCACAGTTCAAAGTCAAATGTCATGAATGAGTCACTAAACAGCCTGATGGGAAGTACTCAGAGCGCAGTCAGAGGAGGTCACCAAAGTGTGTGGAGTAAGTGATACAAACAAAAGCGTTGGAAGCCAGAGAGGAAGGAGAAAGGCTTGGAGGGGAGGAGGAGGGGGGGGAAGCGGCTGCATGTGGCTGTGAGGTTGAGGATGCAGACGGTTTCGGTGGTTTACACCCTGCTCAGGCTAACAGGAAGCGCTGCAGCTCCACAGCAGCTAAGCTGGAAGTCGTATCGCGTTGTAATATTCGCTTCATAGGTCACTGGAAGATTGTGTTATTGTTTGCGAGATCCACTTTCTAATTAACTTGTCAGTTCTAAGGTTAGATTAAACGCTGATTGAGTAGCCCGCAGCAACTTGTTGTTTTTATTGCCTGACTGCCCTTTACTCGTTCAAATTTGGTTTCCCTTTATGAGAGACATTTGACACTAAGAGGTACATTAAACACGTTCAAACACAGCTGATAGGGTGAAACAAAACCAAAAAAAAACAAAAAAAACAAAAAGCAGGCATTTCTGTGCACTGATCTAACCGCATTGTCCTTCCATGACTACACTCCGGCCCCCTCCTTCCCTCCTAATGAGTGGACAAGCAGACAGGCTCTGGCTCCAAGCACAGGTCAACAACTTAAAAAAGAATCCACAGTGGAAAAGTGGGTCATCTTCTCCTGACAGAAAAACACACACAAACTAATGCACATACACTTGCACTCTTCACACCAACGTGGATACAAGCTCTTTCAGGTGCCACAAACTGGAAATACTTCCTGACTGCATGTTGCTGTCTTCAGTCGGCTGGACTCACGCAATCTTTACTCTCCACATTGAGGTGCAATGATTAAAATTACCATTGTGTATGTGTCAAATCAATACAACAACCACACATGGGTTCTTCTGTTTTCACGAGAACTTCAGGATTATTTCACAATCGAATCTCACACTTGCCTTCCTTCTTAACTTTTCTACTGCCCAACAGTGACAGGCCGAAAAATAACCACAACCTCAGCTGCAACCCTGTCCAACAAAACCCCGAAAATGAGTCAAGAATTAACCAACAATGATTCATGCGAACATATCCTTGCACACGGCGCGCACGCTGACAGAAACCCACTCAGAATAACCCTATGACAGAACAGCATGTAGGTCAACCTGTGGTCAGCTGATCTGTACTGATCCTGTCTTCTGTGAGCACACAGTGTTGTAGACCACAGTTACAGCAGCAGCCCAGACAAACTCATATGATTTATGGAGTGAACTACAGTTGCAGTAGACACAACAATGTGAAAGCACAGTTGAAATTAATAGTTCTGTATTTAGACAGGCTAACATAGCATATTTCAAACAGAAATACTACTAATTCTAATTGCATCATCTCAGATTTAAATCAGTTGCTCAGCCGGCCTCTGGTAACCCCTGATCCTGCCCCATGCATGAATACTAAACAGTTTTGTGTAGAAACACTCGTGGACAGCAGACACACACACACACACACACACACACACTTACCCAGAGCCAAGCAAAGTCCCTGCACATCTCATCTCATTCCCTTCATAGCGCAGAGAAAAGACTCAAGTGTCACAAATGCTCCTGTTCCCGCAGAGGCCAGTGGCAACTCTCAAAGCTTTTGCTGCTTCCCAGCCTCCTGCCTGCGCCTTATCACTCTCACTCTCTGCACATATCCCTTACTCCGCTCACTCTTTCTTACTTCTCACTTCCTCTCTCTTGTCCTGTCTTTCTCTCTTTTGCTCACTCTTCTTCTCCTCCCTTGCTCTCTGATCTGTCTTTTTCCCTTGTCCAGCGTCTGCACAATGCACATCAATTATTCAGAGGCAGTCTCCCAGTTTCTCCAGCTTATCCAATCAGAGCAGGGCTCTGCACTAATGGGCTCCTGCTGTACCTGCTACCGGCTCCAACACACTCTCGAGACAGCGGGGGGAGGCAGGGAGGGAGAGTGGGAGGGAGGGAGGAAGGGAGGGAGGGGGGGAGAGAAATAGACAGCGGGAGCAGTGGAGACAGCCGAGGAGGAGGAGGGGAGGATGAGAGGAAGAGATAAAGACAGCGAGCCGACGCAGACAAACAGGAGTAGAGATAGAGAAGGCAAGATACTCCGGTGCTTCTCACCTCCGTCGTAAGGTGCTGTTATTGATGCGTTCAGTCTAGCTCTTCATTGCCATGTTTTTCTCTAAGCTGCTACACAGACAAACACACGTGCACACATGCGTAATCCAGCAATGCTACTGCCATTTGTCAGGAAGGGCAAAGAAAACCAGAAGAAGAAGAAGAAGAAGAGAAAAAAAAACACCCCTGCAAACTCAGATTGCAAACTTGCATAAATGGGAGGAGCTTAATATGCTATGCAGGCTGGCTGGAAGCCAAAGCATGAGGGAGGAAGTAGGAGAAGAAAGATCAATCTCTTCAACGACAGACAAGTAGTAAGTTACTAGGCTTATCAGAGAGGGGATTCCTGCCCGTAGGACAATATAACCTGACAACGACCCTCCTCCTCCTCCTCTCCCCGTCTTCATCAGAGGCCACTTTGTAAATCCGACTAACAAGACACATCAGAGACGAGCAGAGGAGGCAGGTTGAGGGTGAATCTGAGTTCATCTTCACTTCGCCTGCACCTAACTTCGCCCAACGTGGCGCAAAAAATAAATAAATAAATAAACGGATGAATGAACAGGAAAGATCTAAGCTGTCATTGTTTCTCTCCCCTTACCTAAACGCTGAGATGCGTCGTGCAGGCGGCGAGGAAAGGAAAGCCCACTGGCCTTGTGACAGCAGAGGGAAGTTTTCTTTTGTGTGGCTTTTTTTTTTTTTCTTTTAGTCATCAACAGTTTCACAAAAAAAAACCCTACGCAGAATTGAAACGCACACAACAGCGACATTGTTAGCCACAGATATAACTTAAAAAAAAAGGGTGTGTCAAAAGCCCCCGAGGGGGTTGTTGGGTGGGTGGGTGAGGGAGGGGTGTGAGTCTTGAGGTGTGGGTGATAAATCAGTCATTCCTGAACAAAAGGAGGCTCGTTTGCTCATCCGGTTTTGACAAGAACAGAGTCTTCTGTGTTTGGAGTACAACTGCTGGGATATTAACCAAAATGAATTTGCTTGCAAGAGTGTGTAAAACCAAACCAATTAAGGAGAAAGTGATAGAGGACCCAATCAGCCAGAGGCGCCAAAACGCAGCTACCCTAATAAGTATTTCCCTGTGAGTTTTATTTCGATAAACTTAATAGTAAAGTTCTGAAGGTAGTTTTTGGGGGGTTGCAAAGGGGTTTCATCATCTAACGCGAACCGCTGGAGAGTGTCAGAGAGGAGGCCCGCCTGCTAAAAATAAACCCCGTTTCCTGTTAATAATTCAGTGCGCTGCTCTTACTCAGCAGTAATTAAATATAAAAGTCTGTAAGGTTGATTGGGTCAGTAACAAAGGATGCCTACACCTTCCTCTAGTTCTACACACACAGCTCAAAGATGGAAAGAAAGACGGGGCGAGAAAATCAATCAAGTGAAAGTAAATTGAAACAGATAAGTGGAAGACATGTCAGATTGTTGTAGGCTATAAGAAAAGAGAGAGAGAGAGCGAGTGTGTGTGAGTGTGTGAGTGTGTGTGTGTGTGTGTACAGGCACTAACACACCACAGAGAGTCTACACAGAGTCTAATGGGAGCACTTATTTTTCAGCTGTTCATTCTCCTGCACTTCTCGCCGAATTTATAAGAGTTACGGGCTGCTGAAGTGTGTGTTTGTGTTTTTTTTTTTTTTTTTCACAGGACATGCGGTGAGCTGCAGCCCCACCCTGGAAGTTTTCTGTCACTGTTGACACAGCAGAGCGGCTGTTTTTCCTGATGCGAAACACCAGATTACCCAGCGAGCGCGCTCTGTTGACTGACCGAGTGCCGACAGTTCTGCCAGCAAATTTCCTTTATAATGTCAGATGTGAGTGGGTGGGAGGGACATTACCAACCACCCAGAACAAAGCTCGGCTCTTTTAATCAAATTTTCCCTTTTCTTAATTATCCAAAGTAGGGAAACTAGCACACAAAAACATCAACCGCAATGATTTTGAGTGTAGATAAAAATACATTTTTAAAATCC